CTGGTAATCCCGGCCCCGAAACCTTGACTCAGAAATACCGGGTTGGTGTCCGGCGGGGGATAGTTTTTACCATATTGTAGTTAAGTTGTAGTTAAGCATAACCTTGAGCTGTAATTCCTGGCCCCGAAACATTGACTCAGAACTACCGGGTTGGTGTCCGGCGGGGAATAGTTTTCCATCAAAGTTTTAACTGTTGTTTATTTTGTTGTACTGTGATGGTTACTTTTGTTGTTGTTATTGTAATATGTGTTTGCAGGACCATATTGTAAAACAGCGGTAAGATCTCGCCTGTATATGTTATCCTGCCTAAAGATGTTTTTAAATAAATCCATAGTTCCTATCTCATATTAAATTGTTCTTGGTTCTAAATTCGTGGTTCGTAAATTATTCTTAGTTATCCTTATTTTATCTTTAGTTTATTCATTCTTTGTTTTGCTAATACACCTGCACGTAGAAACAAACATTATTATTATACTATAAGTACACAAATATTGGCTGTTATAAGCATAATAATAATAATGATAATGATGACGACGGCGATGGTGACGATGACCATGATGATAAACAAGGTGAAAGACATAGAAAAAAAAAACAAAAAAAAAAACAACCAACCAAACAAAAAAACCATGTTATTTAATCCTGTTTCTATGTATTTTTTTTTTCCAAATCAACAGATATAACGGGTGACTTCATAATTGTGAGTAGTGTCAATACACCTGGAATATTTTTCTCAAACATTGACCATGCCAACTTAGAAGATGTTGCGTTTCAGCAACTCAGCATTGTTCCGTCTCCTGAATTCCCAACATCTGTAGATTACAATACACGCGCCTTTGATATCTACTGGGCAGATCAGTACCAAGGTACTATATGGAAATACTCGTTGAGCAAAAATTACACTGAGGCTGTAGTTTCAGATCTATCAAGTAAGAATTTTATTAGAGTTTTGTCAATTTGTGTTATTTTTCTCGAATTTGGTAGGAATAACAGATCGATTATATAATTGATTTTAAAATTCTAGTGACAATTGCCAAATTTAATAATTGTTAGATTGACCGATTTTTTATTGATTGTCAGATTGTTCGATTCTCTACATTCCAATATTAATTTGTATATTGATAGATTTATTAATAGTCATAGGTTGTTATTATTTGAGGACGTTACATGGGTCCAAATTGTCTAGGTGTAAGGCTAATAAGAACTCCTTTCTTGTAGCGAGGATAAGTAAAACCCGTAATATGATCCGTATACACAGGATTCAAAGAATAAGCCCTTTACACTAGCATATCAAGTATTAATGATAATTGAAAAACTTATAAAACCAGTCAATTTCAACATGAAACAATAAAAATTGTCACACAAGATATCATAAGTTCGCATACATCATAATTGCAATGAAAACACAGGAGCGAGATATCGTCTGTAAGCTTGACATCATTTTGGAGTTGAGTAAAAAATATTTTGCAACTTCTAAATCGGACCTATTCGAAGCAACAAAATAGTGTGCGATTGTGAATCACAATAAACTGCTTAGACTGATATTTAATTGCAGATTTGGTTTATTGTTAGAGATGTTTGTTAGAATGTTCAATTATTGTTTTAAAATTCAATTCAATTTCTTTTATTGTCGCAAGTCCTTTTTGGGGCCAACATCCGCATAAATAATGAAACACACACAAAGAAAACAATACAATGGTAACTCTGCATGGGGTAGGGACTTCATTTCAGTAAGGTCGAATGACCTACATACCCCACCTTAAATGAACTACACATTGCCAAGTTGGGGCGTTAATCCACCAAGGTCCTAATGACGCGCATACGCCAACCCTAAACAAACTGTGCATCTCGGGGTTACAATGACCCGCATACCCTAACCCAAATCGAATTATGCATCATGGGACGTTACTCCGCTAAGGTCCTAATAACCCGCATACCCAAAGCTGTAGAAATAGATATATTTATGATCACGACAGCGTGAATCCTTGTTTTCAGTCTCAATACATGGCTTTTAGAATCTTAGGTGTTTTTTTTTTGTTTTTTTGTTTTTTTTTGTTTTTTGTTTTTTTTTGTGAAAGACGACATAACATTAACAAGCATTTGATAGCAGTCGGCATTGGCGTTTTATCTGACATTAACCAAACTAGGACAGCTTGTATATCTATTACAGTACTGTTTTCAAAGCCATAATAATTTTTTCACATGGTGTACCGGTACCGGTACTGAAAATTAAAATGATGACGGACTGATTGATGGTATATCGCTAACGAACAGCTACCTTTGCAAATTTGGCTTTTTCCTGAGTCCCTATTGACAACACATTTTATTGCACCCTAATTCAAATAATGTATAATGAAAAAAAAATGTTAATTTAAAAGGAGTTTTCTACCACGAGAAGGTAATAGTTAATAGTTAATAGGTCCATGGTTTAAGTGTGACAATACCCGTTCCTTTTGTTTTAGCAGCATTTGTACTCGAAATCTTTGCACGACACCACAGCTAAAAACACATGGAATTCGTATATTTACTGTAATACAGAAGTGCTTTAAACCACTTTATAACATCTAGCTGCTGAAAAAGTCCGATTACTGCTGTTTCCATCTTTAAAAAATGCAATAAAATATAGTAGGCCTAATTAAAAACACAATTGGTTACATTTCTATATTCAAACAAGTTCTTACCCACGCTTGTTTTTTTATGTTCTTTATTTTTTAATAGATGCGTCACTTGCTGTTGACCGTCCTGGTAGACAATTGTTCTGGACTGATGCTTCTATGAATGTCATTGAGAAAATGAATATAAATGGAGACAACAGACAAGTTGTTGTTAGTGATGTACACGAGCCTCTATCAATCATGCTTGATGTTTCCAGAGGGTATGTTCACCAATTCAATATGATATTTCTAAATCAATTAACTACTCACAATTATGTACTTTACTACAGATGGGATGACTTGGGCTGAATGTACTATTTATATGGTAATACTGTTGAACGCAGATTTAACTTGACTTCATTAATTATAAAAAGCAATATGAAATACAATAAAGTTCAATAATAGTAATGAAATATTATATAGGCTAATATAAAAAGTTAAAATATACACACAAAAATATGATGCTGCTTTTATACAAAGCAGCTCATTAAAGTTTTTAATTTAACTTCTTTCCAATTGGGACTTTAGAAAATAAAATATGATTCAATTTCCTAACAGTAGACCTAATGAAATAACGAATTATAATAAATTAAAATCGACGGTAAAAATTTGTAAAGTGGGAAAAAAACATGGAAATTCGATAAAAACAATAAGATATGCAGGCCTGAAATTTAAATAAAAATTAAAATGAGTTGTCTTTCAGTGGCCCCTCGATTAGTAGGCCTGTAGTGTGTTGTTGCTAGGAACCTCTTACAAACATTCATTAAAAAAAACCTCTTTTGTAGTTTGGCAGAATTTTATCGACAGAGTTTTTATTGTTGAGTACCGGTAAGTAAATAGGCCGATATAAATAGTATTGAAAAGTTTAATTATATTATAAAATCTCGGTAGGGTTACTTTTTGTAAATGTATTTGTGTCCTGGTCGGGCTGGAAATAAACATACAAGAATAATCGACACTGAGAAACCATCATCGGATAGAATATGTCATTTATTAAATGACGAAAATAACAATCAGTTAATAATTTAATAACACAGACTAAACCATTGCATTAAAATAATAGTTATATCACAGTAAAATTATAGTTACGGCTTTCCGTATCTAACCGTAACCTGTAAACATGCATTAAATTAATAACATAAAACGCCTATTTTTAAAAGGCATAGGCCAGAAAATATAGGAGAAAGTACAATGGGTAGCCTGAAAATACGGTATGCATTAAATATGATTGAAAATAATTACGGTATGCAATATTGAAAGTAACAATCATCATTAAAATTAACACTTGAGTCATTATCTAAAGTCATTTATAATTAGTTGTGTTATGTATTAGCATTCTAATAATATTTATACAATAGCCACATGTATTGGTCATCTGGAGGCACTGATCCAACAATTAAACGAGCCGATATCATTGATGGAAGCAACGTAACGACATTGGTAAACACTAATCTTAGCAGACCTGTCACTTTAGCCCTAGATGCAGGACGTGAGTAATACTATGGTTAGTTATGTTGAAAAGCTACAGGGTAACCTAGATGTTCCATCATGTCCTTTTTAAACACTGTATATGTACCTTTGATGATTTATATTGTATGTATATATGTGTGTATATGAGTGTGTGTGTGTGTGTGTGTGTGCGTGTGTATGTGTGTGTGCATATATGTATGTGTGTACGTATACGTGTGTGTGTGTTCGCGTGTATGTATGTGTGTATGTGTATATATATATATGTATGTATGTGTATGTATGTATATATATATATATATATGTATATATATATATATATATATATATATGTTGTCCACTTTATTTATCATTTGATGTATTTGATTAATTAATTGAATAAATGTTAATTGAATTGAATTGAATTGAATACTTAAGTTCAACGTAATATATACAATTGCCGTATTCGACTGGACGTGTCGTTCTTCGTACCACGCCCACCTGCGCAGTTGTAAAATCCAAGGCAATCCTACTTAACGAAGACGACCAGTCCAATAAAACTGGTACCGGTAAATAATCGACAAAACAAGATGGCTGCATAGTTACGGGTGTCTATAAAACGAAGACCTAAGACCGAAGACCCAAAGACGAAGACCCCTCTTTTTTCTCTTTCATTTTGATGATAATACGCCAGGCTGTCACAAAATAAAAATTACGAAATTTGATTTCAAAATGATGATTTTGAAATGCTTTCAATAAGATAATTGAGAAATAACTGCAGGTCTTCGTTTTTCGGGTCTTCGGTCTTCATTTTGTAGACACCCATATAGGGTGTCACCCATATGGGTGTCTATAAAACGAAGACCCTTGAAAATTTCACAAACAGATGCCCAAAAAGTCTTTGTTTTTGGGTCTTCGGTCTTCGTTTTATAGACACCCGCATAGTTACCGCGATAACGCTGCGTAAGCAAGGCTGCTTCGGATTATGGCAATTTGGGTTTTTCGTAAAAACATATTTTCATCCAGTTTTTTAATTCTGTTAGCCTACAATTATTTTTTTTACTTCAATGTGGGTAAATATCATAATTTTTATTTTCTGAAATTTAATCTAAATTATATTAACGTAAATGTTGTTGCTAAACTGACAAATCGGCCATTTTTTTTAGTCACCTGCATAACTAGCTTAACGCATTCTGGTTACGTTAATTTTCGTTGTCAACTAAGTCTATTTTACAAACCAGTCGATGCTCAATGAAAGTAATACTCAACGAAAATTGGTACTCAACGAAATGAACCAGTACTGAAGCTCATTGTTTAATATTAGCACAAACCCTTATAGCAATAGCAACATATTTATACAAATATAGCCACATGGTTTGAGAGAAGCTGCAATAATATCAGAAATAACTAAAAATTATATAAATGAGAAAAAAATAATGTTTCATTAAATATTTATGTAATACTTCTCATTCAATAAAAAATGTTCCAATTTTTAACTCATATGCCGGGCCTGTGAGTTATTATGATGGTGCGGCAAAAAACACGTCAACAGCTGCAAAATGCTCTCATTCGTTCGTTTTTAGCGTGATACAGTTTCCGATACAGTTAGAACTTTTGGAACGTGCTGTTTGTGGGGATTGATGAAATGTGGGGTTTCGTTGATTTTTTATGATCAGCAGATGTCATATTTGAAATTCACAAAAACGCTACTTTCTCTCACAGTTTTAATTCGATGTAGGCCTATGTAGGCCTATCCCAGGTTGTGAATTATAGTGAATGCTTGAATGCTGTAATACTGGCCAGTTTGTTCAGGGATTTTCATAAAATTATTGCGGGAAACGTCGTTTCAGGCTATTTTTATGGTAAAAATTTCTATTTTGTATAACTTCTAAGATAATTAAAAAGTGTCATACAAATTTTATGGGTAATTGTCCTTTTATCCGTTACACTCATTTATTCATTTATTTGGTGGTTTTAAAACAATTTTTTAAAACTTTAATAACTGACGTCCAATGAAATCCATTCTAAGCTGGTGAAGAATTATTACAAACAGCGGCTGGATTGTAGACTACATGTATCAAGCTTAGCTTTAAATTGGCACATGGCATGATGTGGGGTCTTGTCTAGGCTAGGCCTAGGCTATGTTATGTTATTGTTGACACGGTGGTAGACCACAGAGGAATAAGTTTCTTATTCTTCCATGAGTAGACAAATATAACCGTCAAATAAGGCATCGATTTTCATCATAAAAGATACAAGGTGAGTCAAACTTTTTCTGACTATCCGTCAGTAGTACTGCGTGGCCTACCATGTACCACAGTCCCACTACTCTACTGCAGCTAGCTAGGCCCTATGATAGAGTAGTAGTAGTCAGTAGTAGTAGTAGGCCTATAGCTAAGTCTAGGCCCCAGTTTCATTTTAACACAATATTTCCAGGGTGAGTCTACACTATAAGATAGTATGCCAGCGATGTTCTAACGAAAGTATGAGTAGGCTAAATACAGAATATCTAGGCCACTTTTTAACTGTGTTTACTAGGTTAATCAAAAAAAAAAAAAAGAAAAAGAAAATCTTTTTTTTTTTCACTCATAGAAGATCTGCGGCGAGGGTGATAACTAATCATTTTTTTAATGGGCCTTCTACTTTTATATTCCTGAATTTAGCTAAATAAAACTTGTCGGCTAGTGTATACCGTAGTATAACCTAGGCCTACTGTACATATCCAGACATTTGGACTCTGTCAATTATTGAAGTAGAGGCCTAGGCTTTTCTACTTCTATTTACACCATGGCAGTATAAAAATACCCCATAGTTACACACACTAGCCTATATGATTCATCAGTACTATTACTGCACTATTGCTGCTACCATGGGCTGGAATATGTGCGCGACCGGCGGTCGGATACATTGACCATTACTGCGGATACATTTTTTTTTTACACATCACAATTTAATGCATACTGGTAATTAAATTTTATATTTTGCTTGCTCCAAACCACTGTGTAAAGATAACATTTGGTGCTGGAGGCAATTGATCAAGATAATTTTCAAGGTCAGAGGCACAAAATGTTTTTTCCAGGCCTGGCTGCTACTACTACTATTTTTAGTCCTGTATTGAATCTGTCTCTTATACACATCTAGATGTGTATAAGAGACAGATCCCAGGTTGTGAATTATAGTGAATGCTTGAATGCTGTAATACTGGCCAGTTTGTTCAGGGATTTTCATAAAATTATTGCGGGAAACGTCGTTTCAGGCTATTTTTATGGTAAAAATTTCTATTTTGTATAACTTCTAAGATAATTAAAAAGTGTCATACAAATTTTATGGGTAATTGTCCTTTCTATCCGTTACACTCATTTATTCATTTATTTGGTGGTTTTAAAACAATTTTTTAAAACTTTAATTACTGACGTCCAATGAAATCCATTCTAAGCTGGTGAAGAATTATTACAAACAGCGGCTGGATTGTAGACTACATGTATCAAGCTTAGCTTTAAATTGGCACATGGCATGATGTGGGGTCTTGTCTAGGCTAGGCCTAGGCTATGTTATGTTATTGTTGACACGGTGGTAGACCACAGAGGAATAAGTTTCTTATTCTTCCATGAGTAGACAAATATAACCGTCAAATAAGGCATCGATTTTCATCATAAAAGATACAAGGTGAGTCAAACTTTTTCTGACTATCCGTCAGTAGTACTGCGTGGCCTACCATGTACCACAGTCCCACTACTCTACTGCAGCTAGCTAGGCCCTATGATAGAGTAGTAGTAGTCAGTAGTAGTAGTAGGCCTATAGCTAAGTCTAGGCCCCAGTTTCATTTTAACACAATATTTCCAGGGTGAGTCTACACTATAAGATAGTATGCCAGCGATGTTCTAACGAAAGTATGAGTAGGCTAAATACAGAATATCTAGGCCACTTTTTAACTGTGTTTACTAGGTTAATCAAAAAAAAAAAAAAGAAAAAGAAAATCTTTTTTTTTTTCACTCATAGAAGATCTGCGGCGAGGGTGATAACTAATCATTTTTTTAATGGGCCTTCTACTTTTATATTCCTGAATTTAGCTAAATAAAACTTGTCGGCTAGTGTATACCGTAGTATAACCTAGGCCTACTGTACATATCCAGACATTTGGACTCTGTCAATTATTGAAGTAGAGGCCTAGGCTTTTCTACTTCTATTTACACCATGGCAGTATAAAAATACCCCATAGTTACACACACTAGCCTATATGATTCATCAGTACTATTACTGCACTATTGCTGCTACCATGGGCTGGAATATGTGCGCGACCGGCGGTCGGATACATTGACCATTACTGCGGATACATTTTTTTTTTACACATCACAATTTAATGCATACTGGTAATTAAATTTTATATTTTGCTTGCTCCAAACCACTGTGTAAAGATAACATTTGGTGCTGGAGGCAATTGATCAAGATAATTTTCAAGGTCAGAGGCACAAAATGTTTTTTCCAGGCCTGGCTGCTACTACTACTATTTTTAGTCCTGTATTGAATCTGTCTCTTATACACATCTAGATGTGTATAAGAGACAGATCCCAGGTTGTGAATTATAGTGAATGCTTGAATGCTGTAATACTGGCCAGTTTGTTCAGGGATTTTCATAAAATTATTGCGGGAAACGTCGTTTCAGGCTATTTTTATGGTAAAAATTTCTATTTTGTATAACTTCTAAGATAATTAAAAAGTGTCATACAAATTTTATGGGTAATTGTCCTTTTATCCGTTACACTCATTTATTCATTTATTTGTATGTATATATATATATATATATATATATATAAATATATATATATATATATAAAATGTAGGTCTACTTGATATGCATTTATTATTAGTTTTTACTGGTAAACACTCGACAAAACAAAATGGCTGCATAGTTACGGGTGTCTATAAAACGAAGACCTAAGACCGAAGACCCAAAGACGAAGACCCCTCTTTTTTCTCTTTCATTTTGATGATAATACGCCAGGTTTGATGATATACATATACATACATATAAATACATATATA